AAACGATGGAAGCACCACGTTCGAGCGGCAAGATTCACAGTTCTTGAAGACAACTACTTACGTTCCTGATGTCACGTTAATCCGAGATGAATTGAGGAGGTTAATGTGGGAGGTAGACGAACTGGTCTAAACCATATGAGCTTACAGATGGCATTATGTTTCACAGACAACAAATGCATTCTCCACATCTTTCATGCACGCGATCAGAAAGACAAGCCGTGCTATTCAGATGAATAATGGATTTTGTATTTGATGATTAAACGAACGAGATTATTAATGGTTTTGCTCCCGTGATTTGGCTTACTGCCCTACCCCACACTTGAGGCACTGGCTTGTGTGAGAGGCACCACAGACGCAATCGTTCTCCTAACATACCACTAAATGGTGGAAGAATTTCCTTTTGGGCATGGGATGGCAATGCCACTTCACCGCCCCGTTCTCCTCCAAGTGATTATCACATATTGGCAGCAGAAAATCACATGCGAAGTGGACTAGACAGTTTGGCGGTAACACGTAGATGGGAGCGACAGCCCTAGCTAGGCTGCTTGTCTCCAAAAACAAGACGACGATCAGGATGGGACTTGCAGCAATTTTGCGTTTTGAGAGGCCTGAAGTTACTTTATTCGTACTGCAAAAAAATCGCATAAAGTTGTCAAAAAATTCTTAGCAAATACTGTGTTGCTACTTATATGTTGAAAATACGAAAGCTTAATTGAAGCAAAATGAATCAACGTGCAACTCTAAATTTTCATTATTTCTCCTAATCACGAACATCAAATGAATAGTCAAAGTCAAGACAGAAATCTTCCCCTCCCGATTAGTAGATGGGTGGGTAGTTATCACGAACAAAGGCAGAGAGATCTAATATGAAATTTGTGGACATGGATGAGTAGGATCTAATTGTAGCGCCCCAAAACTTCCTTGAAAACCAAAAAAGACAGCACTGGGGCAGAAAATGCATACTCTTGATGTAGAGTACTGAGGTTACCGACATGGCTCAGGGGCCAGCTCACCCAGCCAATGGTAGAACACCTAAGCGGCGCTTTTACCAAAACTAAGAGCTAAACAACCAACGCATTTCAAAGCCTCCCCTCCTCTATTTTGAGCTTCGTCCACGGCGATCCTACGTCAGCCATCACAATGCAATCGGCGCCGTAAGGAAACACCCACAACCCGACCGCGCCAGTCGCCGAATTTCCTTGAAAGTGAGGCGGTACTTGACCGCAACGTCACTGATTCCTCTTGACAATTCAACTGGAACTGCGGTTTCATCCTGTACGGAAACGGTGTTGGAAGAAGGAGGAAGGTGACGATCATCACACATATCCATTGCTTGTCGTAGGAACTCCAGCCTAGAGGCAAAGTCATGTAGCATAGGACGGAGTTAATATATTTCCGTGGAGATAGAGTTTCGAGACTATTTCCATATCTGTCAGAGTTATATCCAGCTAGTAGAGAGGAAGTGCCTATTCATATCATTAATATCTACATGGAGGTAAGGTGGACAGCTCCGTAACGAACTTTTCCAGATGGCTCACAGATAATGCAGATTCCTTTGTTAATAGCTATCCTGCTATCTATTTTCAGACCTTTTATTAGGGGTTGTAACCGATTCTTCCGTCCGTGGCCTATGGATTTTTCCGCTTCACTGAGGTTGATCATCCAGCAGTAGACATCTGGATAGATGTTCTTTAAGACCGGGTTCGCTTTCCACTGCCACCAACGTGGCACTCTGCGACTTTCCTAAAGAATAAAGAAGGCATAACACTCGAACAGAATATGTATTGTCAACATGTAGATGGGTTTGAGGCTGCTGGTATGGTCCAAACACCAGTCTACCCAGTGAAGGCACAATGGCAGAACACCAAATTGGCGCTTTCATCAAAACCGAGAATTAAACAACCGATGTAATACATTAATGACCCAAATATTGTGCAACTTACTGCAACTGTTTTAAGTAAATTAGCTTCCCTCATCTCTAATCCTTTTACAAAACTGATGACCCAACAGACCCATAAATAGATGCTAGTGTGAATAATCGTGAAGAAATGAACGACCCGATGGAAATGCTGAGATGCAGAGGGCGATAGTGATCGTCAAGGGGACCGTGTATCGCGGGATGAGCATCGCAGACGGGTTGACAACGCAAGTGGAGCGGATAACAATGGAAGAGGCTGTAGTGACATCGAATAAATGCTGAGCGGTGATCTCGGCGGTGGCGCAGTGATCCAGAAGCGGAAGGTGTCTGCACTAGACCAGGACACCTCAATCATAGTGGCCAATCTGACTTTGATAAACTGAAGGGAGACTTTTCTGGTTCATGAATTTGCAAGTTTTTTGTAGTTTGTTTAGCTCTACTTTTGACTACGCGGGCTCTAAAGTCTCCTCAGGTTGTGCTTCAACTCGCCGGCATGGCTTTTGGGCCATGGCAGTAGCCTTCCATTCCCAATGTGCATCATCAGTAATACATTTTCTACTACACTAATATGACTTCTTACAACTTCAGGGAAGACTTGGCATGATGCAGGTTAATATCACTTTCTTAAGTGGTTATGTTGATTTTTTCTGTCTGACTGAGTTATCGTTTCACATATTACCAAGCAAATAGATGCAAACATAGAGATCTTTTATCACAGGTTTCCTAAATATTAATGGAATTATTAATCAAATTTCTGACACTGAAGCTGGACTCTTTAGGAAATGGAATGACAAGCCAGTCAAAATGATCGACATCACCTCCCAACCAATGTGTCTGATAAGGGATGAATCTGTTGAACTCTCCGTAAGCAGATACTACAAAATCTCCTTTCTGTTGCAATTCTACCTGAACATCCACGCAACCGCACCCACAAATGGAAGTCGATCAGTTTTGTCCAACTAGAGAGGACGGTATTTCGATTAATTTATAGGAGACAAAGATGCTTCACTCAAGTGCTGGACCATTAAGAGGGCCTATCAGTTCTTTTCACATACACGGGTAAAAGAAAATTCCAATAAAGTGTGGTAATTTTTAGCTAATTAACATGTGTCACTGTCTTTAACTTGGATTATCCTCATCATCTTCACATTTTCCAGAAACAAGTCAAATTTGCGCCAAAATATTAAGGCGTAGAAGAAGTTACTTGAACAAACAATCTGTCGGGCAGAGGTGGGTCTCATCCAATGTATCCTTCTGGAATGAAGTCATTTGACATGTACAAGAAATACGGAAGAAGTAGGACGTTGGAGTACCATCCCTCCATCCTGGGTCATAATAACGGCCGCTTTTAGAACGCGTAGCTTTGATCTGGAGCAGGCAAGTTTGTGGTTTTTTCTCGAAGAACTTTACGCTATAGGCTGTGGCCTAGGTCTTATCGAGCTTCCAATCGGGCACTCAAGGGATAAGGACGTCCACATAACTGACTTTATTAATTGAAGCCAGAAGTGAGCGAAAATGGATACGGTGGACGCAAACCTGCTTGACGAGTAGATAGTGGAGACGGAGCGAGACTGAATGTGGTCTCAGATACGCGCAACTGTGGCAACCGGATGACCTTGGCTTGTGAGAGGTTATCACCGTGCCTAGCTGACATCTCTGCTTGATATGCTTGAGCAGGCGAGAACACATTTCCCCCGAATGTTTGGAAATTTGTCATGAATTGGAACTTCTAGAGGACCAAATCAGAACGGTTTCTGCGGTTGCACGTAAAAATAAACTAATTCAGCTTTGTCAATACATCACCCCCAACTCTGACTGCTAGCACACCACAAGCCAACTTACTAATTCCCCAATTTTCATGAATCGACGAAGCAGGTGGTGGCTAAACTCACTGATATCTTGAAAACTGCGTCTAATCACTTTTTTAGGCAAAACCCCAAACTTCTGGCTTGTACTTTAATGTACGCGAATAATTATTTGCTGGCATCTATCTTTTATCTAATCCCAAGATGTCAGTTTACTGGCTGTCGAATCCGCTTGGAAGTGACTGATTACCTAAGTCAGAATATGTCCACGAAAGCTGACTCCACAAGCCAGCCTAACGTCCAAGAAGCCTACTTGGGTGTCGCTAAACAGATCACCACAATCCACCACTTTTTGGATGTGTCTCCATCAACTCACTTGTTAAACTTTCAGTTCACCAGCATGACAAATAAGTGGGGAACAAACGAAAAATAGAAATCTCTCCGCCATGAATATCCTCAAGGTGTGTGACCAATAGCAAAGATGGCAGAAAGCGGGTGGTATTCATGAGAACCTTTTCAAAACAACTCTATTCTTGACTCAAACTGACTCTGTGGTCAATCATGGAAAATGTTTCCAATTTGCCGCCGTTCTCTGTTCCAAAATCCCAAAAGAGATGAATACTGATAAAGCAAAGCGGCACCTAAAGATACACTCCGTCTCCCTTCAAGATGGATACCATCTAAAACAAATGACGTTCACTACAGCATTAATAACCAGGCACGCTAAAGCCCTCTCCATTCAGTCTTTAGAAATGAACATCCAGAAACCCAGTATTTGCTGACAGCACTCCACTTTAGAATCGGCTAATAACCAGACACACTGCATGTGACCTCCACCATTCTATCTTCTAGAAAAACCTGTTACCTTGTTCTCCAAAGGCGGTAATTGGTAAAAACAGTCAAAAACAGCCGCTCAACCAATTCGTGACATATCTGGGGACTATTATTACTTGGACGCACTGCAAGTCTTCCTTAATCAATCCCCTAACGAGATGCACTGATTAGTAAAATCCTTTACCATGACGAGGTCAAATTATTATTGGAAAACCCCCACCGTCCTCTGGAAATTGTTGGAATTTTCTCTATCCCACCTGACAATTAAAAAAGATAGTGTAAACATGAAACTCGGTCCCACACTATTTGTTCAAGGCCGTACTTGTCAAATGGGTTTTTAAAAAAACTCTAGAACGTATCAGTTTAAACACCGAAAAAGCCTGATATCCCATTCCCTTCTTCACAATCATTTAAAAACTGCATTTGTAGAAAACACAACGGGATTACATCCTGGAGAGTAGAAGGCCAGTCCACACGAAAAGCCAGAGTGGAGTGACACCCAGGGTGAGGAGACTCCAGCTCCATGAACCTAGCACTGTAGCCTCCATGTGCGCCTGGAAGAGCACTTTACCACACTGCTGCTGCAGGTCAGAGAAAGTAGTGATGGCGCCAAGCGCACCAGGAGGCGGATACTGCAGCACGAGAGGGTGCGCCAACGTGGCTGCTATTACCAAAGCCGGTGGAGAAACCATAAAAAGAAGAATTACCCCGAGGATGCGATGCAGTGGTCTGTAACGAATGATGGTCGAGGATCGTCAGTGAAAATGTATAGATTCCACCATAAAATGTGTGTTCTAGAAGGTAAAGAAGTATATGACTCGAGCAAAGCACTCTTGCATGCATTATCAAACTGTCAACCATCGTGATTTACTACACGCAATAAAATATTGGCATAGCTTACTTCATGCCATGGAAGCAAGTGAATACAAGATTCGAGAGGACACTCTAGGATAATCTCTAAGTAACTCCAACTTGGTATTGAAGACCTACCAAAATAGCATGGGAAAAGGAGCACCGAAAATTAAACCAATCAGAAAGGCGTACGCTGGCTGAGAGCGGCAAATAATGAAGAGGAAAACAGGTTCGACGGCGACAAGGAGAAGGAAAGCGGCGGAGATGTTCAATGGTGAGAGACAACCGAGAAAACAGGCCCAGAGGAGGCCGGAGAGGGCGCAGGTCAAACGCCAGTCCTGCCCGTAACCCAACCATCGACTAGAGTGGAGGTGAAACAACTTACCAAATTAAGCTAAAATGATTCCAAACCATTGCTGGCCGAGGTAAAACGTTAAAAATAGACTTCCCGAAGGGTCATAGATGATTTAAACTACTGGTAGGTCCTAGTCATTAAACAAAGATAGTGAAATTTGTAAGATTAGAAGTGCTTTTGTCACACTGTTCGTTAAAGAAACTCAACATGAAAGTTGTTCCATGAGCATAAACAAGTGGAAAGGCAAGCAACTCCCATACACGACCGGTTTTTTAAGTAAAACCGTTTCCTAATGACCAGTTAAAAAAACCCATATACAATGGAACTCAGCCAAATCTAGCGCCGAAGGAGAGAAAAACGACACCCTAATCTTTTGATGGAGTTCCTTTTGTAACATATCCGACTACCACAGCACAAAATGATTTCACAAATGCACTCTACTAGAAAAACGAACTAACTAGACCCACCTCCTGCTAACCACAGCAATCAACGGAAGGAGGAGAGCGAAACCAACAACTGCGGAAAGAAACACGGCTGCGAAGGAGACCTCGGTGAGTTGCCACACCCCGTCGGGGTCGTCTGCGGAGAAATCGAGGAGGTAGGCGTAGAGGACGTCAGGAAAGACGTGGATTGCCACACCGCCAGCCATGCACAGCCCCAGTGAGGATGCAGCGGGTAGGAGGATAGCAATGTTAAAGTCGTTACGCTCTCCCCCCTTCTTGTCCTCCTTCACTTCATGATCTGTTTTTGTGCCATTTTTGCTGGCCTTTGTCTTCGCGGTGGTGGCATGGCGCTGTCGAATCTCTATATCAGGGTCGGTGGTATCGACGGTAGAAGAAGTGAAATCAAATTTCTCAAACACATGTTTTGCCGTGAGGATCTTGGAGGACTGCTTTTCCTTAGAAGTAAACTTGACGAATATTCGGATCACCTTGAAGAAAGATATCTCAAGTGTATTTGTGCCTCTAAATTGCGCTTCATGGAAACGGTGTATTATTTAGAATGGTTCAAATCTACGAAGACGAGGCAATCAGCACACAGTTTGTTGATACCAGTCTAAGCGCCTTTACCATCTTACCTGCAAAAGCAGTCCTCCAAGAGCTACAAAGAAGAAGGGTGAGTAAACTCCGATGGATATGTAATGCCAGAGGTCCGGCAGCAGGTAATAGTAAAACGACTGATGCATTCGTTCCTGGAGGTTGTTCAAACAGCGTAGAAATCCCTCAACCAAACTACAAGGAGAGAAGAGAAGAATAGTATAGACGTGAACCTAATACCTGCCAATCTGACGAATATAATTTGTGTTTAGCTGCTGCGCCGAGGAGGGACTTGAAATGCCACGAAGAGTGAGACAGGGCACCTGAAAATTTATTAGGGGACCGTGCAATCCCGAGGGAGAGCCCGAGCTCTGTATCCAGATGGAACTGATCAATTGCTTCAGTGTTGGTAATGGATTGGAGTAAATGAAGCCCTGGAGCTAAAGCGGACCTAGAGAACATATTTTTTCAAACATACTTGACCATGCAGAGAGAGAGGAATGCTATGCTTTTTTGCCAAACGAGCAACAGTGTTGATGAGATCCAGATTCGGCAATTCACCATTTATGCCTTGGAAAGAAACATCCAAACGGGCCATGCTTAGTGAAGGGAATTCCAGAGCAAGTCCGGCTTGAAGGCTACCCGAACGGCCTCTAAGTTTAGCCCCATGAACAACTAAGCCAAATAATAATAAGGACAAACATTCCACCAACTGGGAGACGTGTTAACACCATGATAAGCATCCAACCAAGCCACCAGTCCGATGTATCCCATATCGGGGAAAAGGAATATTATATCCTTCGCCCAGTAGAGTTGAGCTAGGATTTTGTAAGTATGCAAAAACAAACTACTGCTAAGCCGTTTTGCGAGAGAAATGAGGTAGGTGTACGTTCCCGGAATGATCTCCTCAGATTCACCAGTGGCTCGAAGTGGCGCTATGACAACTAGAGCTTCTGTACGGCTGCCACCGCGCGAACGCATAATAGCGTAAAGATTTGAGCTAGAAACATTCTAAGCGATAAACATGAAATGCATAGCAAAATCTAGTTACCCCAACACTTCGAAGTAATTTATGTGAGAAGATAAACTTCTGCTCATAAACTTCAAGGCCAAACTTCTCCATTTCACGGCGAATAATGGAGGCTGTTTTGGTTTTATCTGAAGCAGCGTCAATAAACTCTTTCATTGTGTTAGAAATGTTCTGTTCTGGGTTATAGGTTTCATCGACAAGACCTGTAAAATAAAAACGCAACTTCGCATTACCGATTAACAACGCATTTTCACTGACATAGGTTTCATAATTAAATTCTGGTTGAGAGAGAGTCAAGAGACCAATGATACCAACTAGGTAAAAAAGGAGACTCAGAGACTTCGAAAATTTGACACAGCGATCAACGATAAGATGCAGCATCTAATAAGTTAGTGATCGGTTCTCGTAAACCCGGAAGACTACGAAAGCACCACCGGGGTACAAGGTTATTTAAAACTAATCAGTGGCTAATCTAACTCTGCATATCATTTGCTTACAAACGACGATAATTGTTTTGGCACAGTGTCAGTAACCGTAATTAAGAATACTGTGAGTAACCCTTGCCTCTACTAAATTTTCGTAGAATATGCATTTGCATTCGCTTAGGATTTTTAATGTTGAATTGGGATTGAAACCGGTGCTTAATAAAAGGTAAGAAACTTTATGGGTGCATTTTCACTCTGTAATAGTTATGCATTCATTAGCGAATAAATCGCTGCATTTGATTAGACTTGGTATTTGGCCTACACACTCCACGGTTATATTTCTAAACACCAGTGTATACTGGCAACAGCTACGGCAACAACTCCTCACACAATCATTTAATCGCTAGGAAAGCAAACCATACAAATTTTATCGCTCTGTATGTGCTTAAAGTACCTTGCCAGACATAAATCGTGCACAACATCCCAGGTCGTTCCCAAAATGGCAGCAGGCTAAAGTACTTCCAAAGTGCATATATTGTAACCGTACAGAGATTGGGATTCCACTGACATGACTCAGAAACCATGGTGCAGAGTGGGATTCTCACTTGTAGACACCCTTTTTCGCAAAATTAAACACACAGGCAAACAAAGTACAAGTTAACCAAGCATATTACTATGTTTTCGGTGCCACACTTAGTTCTCGATCTTATTGCAACTTATTTCATATGCTTGCACTAAGCGTTTCACACTTACTCTCTCTCCTTTTTAGATCAGGATACTAATACTTCAAGCAGAGACCTCACACTTCTACTTGGATTATTTGGTCGATTTAAACTATTCCATGTGTTTCCAAGATCATCTCTGATCCTTAGGACGACTAATTATTGCACTTTTGCCCTTCGATACTAATAAATTTGCATTTGCCACCACCAACTCACGCTCATTTTTATAGTTTCTATAAATAGTGAAACATAAATGATAAAGACAAATCCTCTCATAGGCATTATCTTCCCTAGATCAGGTGTATATCAAGACAAGTCACAGCACTAAGGCTGTTGAATGTCATGAGAGATCGTACATCACTCCCAGGAGCGCAATAAAATTCCGTAATGCTAAATCACAAATACATTGCCTCCTTTGTTACAGTTCGTGCTTATGGGATCCGCACACTTCCAAATACGCACTTATTCCATTGGAAATCTTGGTCCTTTTAGCCTCCAAATAAAAAAGAGAAACATTGGGTTAGGTTTATTTTGCACAAATTTTTTTGGAGTGCACACAGTTTTGCATACAGAAAGCAATACTATACGTTAATGTGTTACAAAGTCGGAGTAATTTACTTGTCTGTGTCACTTCATCTCTCACCAAAGTAACGAAGAACAAGCTCGCAACTACGGACAGTGGCAAAAAACAACAATCATTTAATAGTGTTTTATTCTGAAAATAATTTTCAATTTAAGTGGTATTGCTTAAAGGGAAATCGTCGACTCGAAAACGAAAGACGTTCATTGAATATCAGACGAGACCCTATTGTAATACAATAGTGGTTTACCCCCCGGTATTGGCGAGGCGCCACTTTTGTACTTTGAATTAGCCCTCTTATACCTCGCAAGGTTAGCTGGCCTTCGGGCCATGCTAATAGCTCAGACACCTTCTCTGCGCTGAATATATATTCTGCCCGAGTATTGTGTCTTCTTTCGTCCTCAGGGAAGTCTCGGAATGCTACATTGGTGGCAGCGGAAAGCGGGCCCGATCTTAAAGGACATGTATCCTGATTTCCCACTTCTACGCGATAAACCTTAGCGGAGCGGAAGAAGTACATATGCCACGGATGGGAGAATGGTGATGACCCCTAACAGAAGGGTTGAAGTTGACGTCTACCTTCGGCATCTCTTTCAGTCCCATGTTCTGCAGGAAAGCTATTAACAACTGAAGCTGCACTAGTCGTGAACCATCTGGATGTTTTGTTACAGACTTTTCCCACCGTCCCCCATGCACCTGTACTAAATCTCGTCATTCCTTACACAAATCTACCTTTAGGCCAGTGTCCTTACATCCATCCCCACCCTAAATCAAGTTCCTAAACCAGACGAAACTCGGTAGTTGACAGGATAGCCAGCATGACCTGTCAACTAAACACCGTTTCCGTTATTTCCCCTGTGACGTTGACGGTGAACCGAATCTGAAAGTAGACTTATAGCACCAGATCCTCCCTCTCTCTCGCTACTATTTAAGTAACAACCTCGCAACTGCTTTTCATAGCAAGTCATGGTTTATTCATCATAAATAGATAATGACAAGTAGCAGTTCTACGAAGATCAAACGCCCGCAAAATCAAATGAACGTTCAAAAATAAGAACAAATGCATAGAACCCGTGTCAAAGTCTGCATTGAGGAAGACTTATACCGATCCCGGTCCGGAATACGCCACTTGCTTAGGTTAAAGCTAAGCTCTTCATTCTGCGTAAATGATAAGTTCGCTGTCACCTTCACGAATGTGCGGCAGAATTCCCATCGAGTGATTACACCAAGAGGTATAGCAAGTGGAGTCGCTAATAGAAATAAGATGCTTCTGGCCCTATAATAATAGCACTTTTAAATAATTTGGACAGCCATTGAATCAGTTATTCTGGTAGTAATCGTGTTGGTACCATTAAAACAGGAGCGGTGGAGTTAGTATGACCGACAGTTCTCCATGACCCCGGTAGCCGATACCAAAACATGGGAACCCAAATATTGTGAACAATAAAATGTCTGTTAGAAAACAGAGAAAGCACAGTACAAAACCCTAAAAAGAAATCCGGCACGCGGAAGCAAAGCGAGTAGACCGAGCAATCTATTGACGAAAGATCAACGAACCTATGTACACGGCACGAATATACAAATGACACACCTAGTTGACAATGGCCTTAACAATGTTTGACCATTCCCCTGTCCTGCCTAGCGCATCTACGCCATGCATCACGAAGAAATGCACGCTATTGGGAGGCAAGTTAACCGCCACGAAGGAAAGGGGCAGGCTAGGTGCGGTAATCACAGCGATCTTCATTGACAGAAGAGAGAAATGAAAGCATTTGAAAAACAATCAAATGGTAGTTATAGTATAGAAAGAAATACCTTGGTCCAAGCTATTCCTAGCTGGACTTTAATGGCGTCACCTTCGGTGGGAGTATAGGAGTAGAGGTAATAAACATTGGCTGGTTGGAACTGCACTGTGAGGGAGGATTGGTCTAACCGGCCCTCAATAGAGATACCTGTTACGTAATTTTACTCTGGAATTTAGAAATATGAAACCCACCTCCTACTGCAGGTGAGGCGGATAGTATAAGTGGTGGTTGCATTGGAACGATGACAATGCTCCCTCCGAGGTTCAAAGTGATGTCCGGAGGAGTGTACTTCGGAAGAGGAGGAGCTTGAATCAAGAAGAAATCCTGAGGAGCCTTCGCATATGATGCGCGCACTTTATTTGAGTTGACATCGCCACTTTTTGTAAGGGACTTTCGTGATAGCAGCCTATTGACTAGATGCGGTGGGAGCTTCTGCTCCTTTGACGACTCTAAGAGTGCCTTTGATGCTGAGGTTGTTGCCAGTGGTATAATCTAGAAGTAAGCAAGACTTCACTTAAAACCCCGATGACACATGGTGGTCTAGGAGTTATATAGGTACGGAACCTGATCTGGGACTTTATCCTTGGTTTCTTTGACTGATGCTGCGCATGCTGCAACAGATTCTTGCATTTCTTCAACGTCACTTGTCAACTTATTGCACAAGGCTACAGCTGATTTCAGGGAGTCAACTAGGTCATTAATATGCGAACTGAGGTTTCTCGACAACATTTTGAGAACTTCGGAGCGGATAGCTTCTTTCGCCTGTACGGATGTGATATCTTCTACACCGTTTACAATTTCAGCCTGAAAAGCTGCACTCGGAGGGGATGAGTTTGTCTTCATTTTTGCGTACACCCCAGGCTATTGCGATAAGTAGGCTAAAAAGGAATAGATTGCAGGATTTGAAGGTCTCACATTTGGGGTCATCTAAAGTGCAACGGTACTTGTGCTGATATAAACAAACAAGGACTCAGTAATAATATAAGTGAGCGTAAATATTTTTTGACGTACTAAAGCACAAAATGGATATAAAGGGATCAACTATTGGTGGAAAGGACAGCATCGACTACCGAGGGATGCTTATGCTCTTCTAAGTACGTCTGCTACAGCATTCTTCACTGGTCAAACAATCATATAAAGCCATGGAAAACTGGCTAAAGTCCTTTCCAAAACTTCGGCATAGCTTTGATGCTGCGCAATAAAAATTATTTTATCATACGCCAGTTTCCAAAAGAGGATTAATATATTCTACAAAAACCCCATCTGTCATGCAGAGCTATGATTGTATAGTGGCAAATTTAAACAAGGAATATGTCCTGTTACGCATACCTTGAGTAAAAATAATCTTGCGAGAGCTCATCGCAACTGTTATTTGCGATTAAAAATTGGATCTTTTTTAGAAGTTTATTGAAAAACTAAACTTTCATGGTCCAAAGTCTCTGAAATTTTTTTACGCTGATATAAGTTGTATGCTGGCTTTGGTATTGAAAACGGAAATCCATGTTAATTCTTTCCCCTACTTTGGGAGGAGACGTGCTGTGCTCCTCTCAAAATCTGCTTTGTTTAACTTACAGCAGGTGTTTAGCGCATAACTAACACTTATTTTTCAGCCTCGTGTTGTCCGTCGAATTTGTGTTTGTTTTGTCTAATGGCTCTGTGTGATGCTTCAATGATTGAGCAGGTGATGGACACACCATTTGAGCTCTCAAATTTTGTGTGCTGCTCTCACCTGTGCAAGTAATACGACATTAGGCTATTTTCTGTATACTATTCGGGCTCATGCTTGTAAATATTCTATTCCACTTAATTCAACTTATTTCCCATTATTGAGGCAAGACGGTATGCTCCTTGACTTACCTCTTCCTTTTAAATCCTTGTACGTATGTTAGCTTTACCCCTTGTGGCACTGCTTTTATGAAAGCATCGCCCTTACTTGTATTTACTCGTACGATGCCTTTGAAACTGGCTCCAGTAATGAACTTATTTGCTTCTACCTCTTTAGGCAATAACGGAACATGTGAAGGGTCTCATGACGGCCAATGGTAGTAGTACTCTTCAGGGGTCTCCCTATCCTGAGGTTGCCGAGGTCATGCGAACATTTTCTACGAACATTGTCCTACTTCGTCAAACTGATGAAGTTCGTGAAATGCAAACTGTTCTGCGAGATAGGTACACTTTCTTCAAAATAACTGTAACTTCGTCTCTACTACTCATTTCGTCAAATTTCGTGCTTTTTGAAGAACCACCACGAGGAATGATTTCGTCTTTTATGCAAATCGTCTCATTCGTTTGGTGATGGAAGAGGGTCTCAATCAGCTCCCCTTTGAAGAGGTTTCTGTTACAACTCCCACAGGTGAGATATGCTTGCATCTTTTTTATCATACCTGTAACGTGCGCGCTTTCCGAGGTCACCCGGTGGCTATTTCACTGATGTCCTAAACATGCTTGTACTTCGTACCGTAAGCTGGGTCAGTGAAATCTTAAAAATCCTCTACTGCAGGTGTGGGTTTGCATTTTCGACAATGAATAGTGGATTTGGTAGTCATTATTGCTTTTATTTCTTGAGCAGTTATTGACGGTTCATATTTCTCTTGTGAATATCAAGTAAGTCATTGACTTATAGTACCCGAATAGCTGTTCAGAATGCGCGTCTGATGGTAACTTTACTATTAGCGAAGGGAAGGATTAGATAGCATGACCAGAACTCCGTTGGCGATTGTTGCTTGTGGTGGCATTAAATGAGACATCTATTAATTGCTTTATTAAAGAGCTGTTTCGGTTTTTGAATTACATTTGCGATTGCCAGAGCAGTTCACTGTCGACGTAGAGACAAAAATATGCTAGACTGAGGCCCCGCGTTATGCAACTGCCGTGCGGTTTGCTACTGTTACAAGTGTGTCACACGGTTCATTTTTTGCCGAGGTGTGGTTCTTTTTAGATCTTTTCACATCTCCCAGCTAACTCAGCTGATTCAGCTGTACTGCTTTTCAGCACAATGTTTACTTTCTCACCTCAACTCTTTCATCCACTTCACTTACTAGTATTTCTTGTGTTTTGTGTCTTCCACTCATTGCACAAAACAATGAATAACTTTTCCTCAGGTTCACCAGGCTCAGATTCGAACGACCTTTTTGGTATGCACTGGGTTGAGGCAATTAGATGGTCTTTTGCCTCTTACTTTCTTGACTTATCAAGGCAGGATATTCCCAGTACCTATTATGCGTCAGCCATAATTTTTTCACCTAAATGGCGAAACCGAATGTCCCTCTGTTTTAATCCTTTTAACTCTGGGACGTCCTCAAAGTTGATCACTGCTGTCGTACTTCATTCTTATCCATATTTTTGTTCTCAATTGTTTAGATGTTGGGTTTTGAATTCGGGGATCGTCATTGCTAAAGCGCGTTTTCTCCTAGATCCCACCTTTTTCTTTCCCTGAAAAGTGCCGAAATGTGGTACCCTGCAACAATACTGTCCTTGGTTTTGAGGCTTCCCAGATTTATTTTCTGGTCCTTGATATAAAAATAAGGGAATATTTTGACGATATCAGTGGAAGATTTGATGGAAATTGGAGATTAAATGCTTCGTCGCAAAAGTGTCACATGGCACCTTATCAATGTCCATATTACATGAACAACACGTTTTGAAGCAAAGCCAAATTCCAGTGAGTGATGCAGTCACTAGACTTTGCAAGAGGCGATGTCACATTGTTCATGATGTTTCGCTTCCTTCCTGTTCACTAATACCTAAACTGATTGCTGATCCGCTACTTGAATGAAGTGCCGGTTATCAGTTTCCATGTTCTTAAATCTTGGTTATACCCCAGTTTATCAATGCACCTTTCCTTGTTTAGAAGTCTCTTGAAACGCCTTAGTCTAGGCAGGTTCCGACTTTCTTTTCTTCCACTACGGAAAAGGATTTCCGGCTTTTTTTCTGACAACAAGATTAAGAACGATGCACCTCATCTTATTTTTAAATTCTGTTCTCGCTTACATTAGCAGAAGAGCCTGCGCTTTTCCTGTATGCCCAGTGAGCGGCTTTCCTCCTTTTCCACTCCTCATCAATAGGCCACCAATGCAATAGATTGAAGTATTTCGCAACGGGGTTTCATGTTCTTGAATTGTGGTCGTGTTGCACACTCTCGTCTCACGATACCTCATTACTCGCCTGAATCAAATATGGGCTGTCTTTGTGACAACAGAATGAAGCCCGTACTGCTTTTCGCCTACTCCGAAAATTGTTCCACTCTCTCCCTACCACCAGGGCATCGCTACAACGGGCTGAAATTTCTGCGCGGCAACTGCGGCGTCTCAATTGTGCGCAGTGGCGAAGCGATGGAGCGTGGCCTGCGCGACTGCTGTCGGGGGCTGCGGATTGGCAAAATCCTCATCACCGTCTCAGAGGAGTTTGGCCAAATCTCCGAGCCGCGCGTCGTCTACGCCAAACTCCCGCCCGGCATCGAGTCACGCAAGGTTCTCCTCATGTATCCCACGCTCAGTAAGTGTGGAACCAACTTATCAGCCCTCTTTATTACTTCGATTGTCCCCATTTCTTTGCGGTGCTTTTCGCTGGTTTTTTCGGATGTTGAAACTATTTGGCCTGCCCATAATTGAGAGGTAGTGCTGATTGTTTCAGTTTCGGTGGCTTCCAGATAAGGGCATACCAGAACAACGCCTCTGACTCCACTTACCGGAAAGTGTTTCTGTTGGGATTTATGCTATAAGATCAGATATCACGGTGTTTTCTTGAGTTTGAATCGTGCAACGTGTTTTTAGATCAGGGCTATATCTAGTTCTCAGGACTCAAATCACAAATGGGTATCTGTCTTGCTTTTGCCCCTACTTTAGAAACTGGGAACATTGTGCTGACTGCACTGGAATTGCTTCGAAGTTACAACGTCTCCGCCGAGAACGTCATCCTCCACACGCTTTTCGCGTCACCACAAGGTACAACACAATTTCTTTCGGAAAATCCTATTTTTATTACTCATCTTGCGGCCTTAAATTAATCCCGACTAAATGAAACTACTTCATCTCAGGAAGTGCTGTGTATCTCGGCAGTTTCAATTCCCCTCTTCGTATGTCCACAAGTTCCCTGTCAAATGGGGAAAGTGTTATGTTATCATCCACATTCTACGCTTAAAGACTGTATTTTAAAGTAGCTTATCTTGTGCTTCGAATTAGTTGCCGTCCTGACCTGTGACTGTTTGTAAGGTGCCACCAGTCTTTTAGGTAATTCAATTTCATATTTGCATCGTCTGGTGTTGAACGGCTTCATTCTAAAACAAACGCAACCAGCCACTCCAAGTGGTTTGATTCATTCGCACACATGCGGATGAAATTTTTAGGAGATCAAATGATCTCGAATCGCTAATCAAAAAAGTTTTTAATCCGCAAGGTGCCTCGCCAGCAAATTGAATTGCTTGCCCATTCTAGAATAGTGATTTAAAAATCCTACCAGGTTTTATAGAGTCAAAATTGATTAGTATGATGAAAGGTGATTTCGTTTGGGAGTACTTAATACTGTCTCTCCACCTACCTCCTATCAAAGCGATATTATTGACTAAATCATGCATTCTCCATCTATATTACAGTTCAATTTACATTTGCTATGTTTACAAGAACTTGATTCACCTTATCCCAGAGAAACAAAATCTAAACAGTCACTGCTGGGCACCCCCAAGGAATGGTTTCATTTAGCCCCAGGCCTGCAAGTTTGTCCCTAAGGTCGAATGATGGCACTTCTATCGTGTAAAATGTTGCTTACAGATCGGTTTAAAGGTAGGTCCATGCATGACATTTTTAACCTTGTTTTGTGCAGGACTGAAGAACGTACTAACAAGAAATCCAGCGCTCACAGTCGTCACCTCGGAAGTACATCCAGTGGTTCCGAGCCACTTTGACCAGTCCTACTTTGGCACAATGTAGAAGGAACGTCCAATCGGGAATGCTTTGTATCTTCAGTGTATTTTAGACCTGCCACGTCCTATCCCTCTCCCACTTCACTGGTGTACGCTGGACTGCGTGTTCGCTATAGTTTCCATGAAACTATGTGCCAGATAAATATGGAGTCAATGTTCTTGTGATTTCGGATTGGGGGATTTCTTGAAAGACGTGTCTGATTTGTCGTATTAGGTGATCGAAGGGGATCTAGTAAACTCGTAAGTCCAGAGATCTGAAAGACTGAAAAGGAGTGGGACGCAGCTGCCCACACTATTTTGAGAAGTACATTAACGCCAAGTCAGGAAGTGTGATACGGGGGAGCTGGTACGTGGTGAAATGCGGAGTTCGCGAGACATTGGGGGGGCCATTGGTGTTACTCATCTTCGGTAACAAGGGGGAAAGAAAGCTTTTCCATAAGGTCGTCAACTTTGGCCTGCAGGCGAGGTAGAACTACTGGATCAATGAAGATGTGGGAGTCGTCAAGATCTGACAAGACGAAACGAGAGCCAATAATGAGGTTTTCAGACAAGTAGGTTAGGAATTGTTTCATGGCTGGGTCGCTAAATGAAATTAGTGCTTAGAGGAAACCAACCATTTAACGAGCACGCCTTTTATAACATTCACCATTTTGCGTAAGAGCTCCGGACGAGTACCAAGGCAACCTTGGTGTGATGAAGGCTACAAGTAAGGAGATTATTAAACCAGCGACTATAACTTCTGTAGACCGATATGGCGTAGGGTTTGTGTGAAAAATATGCCAAAATCTGCCTTATTTGAGTAAAACATTTATTCGCGAGAAAACATAACAATATACAGTCTTAACTAAGAAATTCTGAAAGAGTGCTTATAAGAAGTGGTAGTTCATTACCTGTCTGTACAAAGTTTTGGCATTATCCGCCAAAAAGTTGATATGTTTACGCCGATATGCGGTATCAAGTCCATAATGAGTGCTAAATTATTTCAATTGTAGTATCTCAAAACTTTTTGGGGATAAAAGAAGGCATAATATGTAGTGTAGAAGGCAGAATATGCAGTGCCGACATGGTGGATTATAGTTACCCTCGTATCCTTTGGGATTTGCACACGAGGTAGACATTGAGAGCCGCTGCTTTTATTATGATAAAATATTAATTTTTAGTTTTGGCAGTTGTTTCTAGCTTACGACAGGACTATTTTGTCTCCGTTCCAACTATCACCTACTTAACATTCGTTCTCGTCCTTATGTTGCCGTGCGCATAGCCAGTCCGTGGGTGTCGTCGGCGTTAAGTTGCTATGTGGTACGAAATAATCCCATCTTTCGCGATTATGCTTGGTGCTGCTGCACTTATGGACCCTTTATGTAAAGTATCCGCTTACCTTTTGTACGGAAGGGTAGGAGAAGTCGTCAGATATCTATTTTGTAGTGGAGCGGTTCTGACTTTTTCACGAACGCGGAGATTTC